TTTAAGGAACTTAAAGTTAGGCCAATGATTTTCAACCCACATGCTGTGGCACACTAGTGTGCTAGGAGAGGATCCTTAGGTATGCTACAAAAATTTTTTATTCAATCAAATTATTTTTGAAATAAGTTCAAAGTACAGTAAGTATATTCTATATTTTTCCTTTTTTTAATCAACATAATTTAAGTGTGCCCTGGAATTTTAACACTAGTTTCAAGTATAACATGAAATAAACTGTCTTAGGCCCTCAAATGTCTCAGGCCTTAGCCTCCCAGAGTTTTAGGATTACAGTCATGAAGCTCTGCCCCTGGCCCATCACCAGCTGTTAAAGAATCATCTCTTAAAGAGGTAACAACATACATCAACACAGTAGTCAAGAGGACTACAGAAGATAGCTCTAATTTTCCTTAACTAAAGGGCCTGATCTGAGGATTTCTTAGAGAATGAAGTCAAAGTTTTAGAAGATATTCATCAAGTTTGATAAATGTGAATCATGCTTGGAAGTTGTCTTTGTTGTTAATAATTTACTGCAGACATTAATTTATCAGATATCTATCCTTTCTGTTGAAGTGTGCCCTTGACTATCAAGACAAAAATGGACTCCCCAGGCCTGTTCAAAGCCAGGCAGCCATGGCTGGGTGAGGGAGTGGTCACATACTCAGTGTTCTCATAAAGATGTAAAAGTATCATAGGACCTCCCTTTCAATAATAAAGCCAACCCAGTCCCTATTGTCAGTGCCAGGATAAAAAGTACCCGAAAACCCTCCTCCACCACCGCCAGCTTTTTTTTTTTTTTTTGCGACAAGAGTCTCACTCTGTCACCCAGACAATCATCTCATAAAAACTTCTGGTTTAGAGTTTGAAAACCAACCAGTCAGAATTCACCTTCCCTGGCCAATCAGGACTCAGCTGTATCAACCAACCAGGGCTCAGAGGTATCAATTAATCAGAACTCAGCTGTACTGACCAATCAGAACTGAGCTCCAATCCCTCATTTGTATAAACAGACTTGATTGGGAACCCAGCTAGGATTTTGCTATAAAATTTGAATTCTCTCTTTGTTGGTTGGAATGAACTTTCATTTTACCCAAAGGTTCCCTTGCCCTGATTTGCAAATTGTTCACCAGAGTATAGTCTCTTTCCTCCAAATTCCTTTTGGAAAACTTTTGTTCATATTCTAAAAGAAATTAACAGAAGAAAAAGTTTCAATCATCAAGATGACCCAATATGTAGAATTTGGAAGACTAAGAAATTTCCCAAAACCTCTCTGGCCTAAGTATGCAAACCCTGGACAATAGGTAGGTTCACTGAATGAACAGATATTATTATTGTCCTGGAAATTGCTGAAGTGAATACTAGGAGCCACTCTCACTGACATAAACCTGAAGTCATAACTGCAATGCATCTTGACAGAATACATCCTGCAGTTTTTGAGACGAGTATGTCTCTCATATAACAGTATGTTTGCTGTATCACTATACTTTTTCTTTAGTGATTCATGTTATTACTAAAATCCACATTTCTTTATTTTATTAAATATAACTTAAGATGTGCTTCATAGTTGTTACTTTTAGAAAATTAACGTGGCTAATGTGTAAATGCATTCGTGAATACTTGGACTCCTGATGAGACAAGATGGAAACCTTTGTCTTAGAAGCTAAAGGTAAAAGAGGTTGAAATTGGAGCTGCTAGAAGTCTCACTGATCAGAGAAAGTAATACATTACAGAACCACTGACAAACACACAATAAGTGAGTCCTTGTTTAACAAAGTAGAAGTGAAAAAAGAACTTAGGGAATTCACATCAACAAAATGGCTGAACAGGTTTATTGTAGAGAGAGAATGGGCAGGGAGTGTGGCCACTTTTTTTCCCTGTAGACTTTCCTTGCCACCCATTGGGACACCAGTCACTGCCCTATCCTACTCATATTCAAAGGCTAAGTATCTAAACAAGTTTATCTCTTTCTAGAACCAGAAGGCCAGAAAGAAGGTTCAACCTCTGCCTCCAATAAGCTGTGAGCTGTCCCCACAACCCCCACCACCATCTCTTCTGGCTTCCCAGGGTCCCTTTTCCAAGTACTCCAGAGTGATAGCACCTAGGCTGGGGGCAGTCAGGGCACTGGAGAAATCAGCACCTTCTATGCTAGCTAAGATACAGCAGCCTGACCACCCATCTCATTCCGTTCAACTGTGTTTCAGGAACAGGAACCCATCCTTCTCTTCCCTTTATTGTGGACAAAATTTTCTCAAATGACCCTGCACATATCTGACATCTCCCCACCCAGTTCAAACAGCTTTCTTTACTGGCTGTGATCTCTTGGCCATTGGCTATAAATAACCTGGCCTGTGTCCTTCACACTCTGTGTGAGCTGGTCTGATCATCATCACTTCTCCACTCCTTTTTGCTTCCACCCCTCCTTCCCCGGGGCCCAGCCAACAACACAGCATATTCCAACCCCTCCAAGGGAGCACATACTGGCAGAAAAAGCAATTAACACTGATATTTCTGCAAGCTGGAAATTCTTATAATTAAAACTTCTTTTGTGAGATCTCAGGAGTCTAAATAATCCTAAGGGAAGAAAAGCACTAGCATCTTATCAGGAAATGTGACCAGTGGAAACAGAGGAACTCAGTAATACAGGACTAAAATTTTACTCTGGAGCCCAATTATCAGATATAAATATTTATTGATTAAAACAACATTATAGGCTTGCTATATTCATTAAAGGGTTTTTAGCACATTCAGAAGTCTCTAGAAGTAGCAACAGTTACAATCAGCCATGTAATCAAAAGTTATTTCTAACATAATCACTTTCTTAAGCTTAGCAAAGACAGGTCCTAATAGTGACAGAGGTTCCCCATTCAAGGAAGAAACAATTAGTTTGATAATACAAAGCTCAAAACAAGTGAAAAACACTTAATTCCACTCAAGAACATTAATTGATGGATAGTAGTCACCATGGTGACATTCATTAATATTAAATCTTAGAAGTCTAAACAAATTTGCAATGTAAATATACCAGCAGGTTTAGAGATGCCATCTTTCTAGACCCAGACAATTATCAAATCCAACATTATCTCTCTCTGAAAAACCAAAAAGCGTTGGTATTAGATAAAAGTTAAACTTATAACATAACAATATGTTGAACTTTACTCACCTAGAGAAAGAAAGCTGATGAATTATCCACAGGAGGGCAAATACATTAAAAAGACTACCACAAAGTTTTTAATTTGTAAAAAAAAAAAAAAAAAATAGCTCTCTGGCTCAGCGCCTATAGCTCAACCGGCTAAGGCACCAGTCAC